TCCTACTGTAACCACTCATGCTTTCTCCTGTCTCCCCTGAACTCCTGCAAGTATATGAGAGGGCGCTACAAGGAAGAAAGCAAAGGTGAGGGGGGCCAGGGTGGAGAAAAAGTGATGGACCTCCCCCACCAAACTCCTGTTATCTCCCCCGGTTCCCTCACTCCCCGGGAGCTTGGCTGCTTGCACCCACAAGTCCCTAGGGCAGCTTCCTCCGGGCTGCTCCGTTAGCAGTCAGGAACCAGGATGGGTGCCACAGCGCCAAACCTGTTCCAAGGTACCCTCAATGGTGCTTCTTCCGATGACTCAGCATGGACATCGGGGTGAGGTGACCCCTAATACGACCAAGCTCAGTTCAAAGTGTGGCTACTCTCTGCCGCTCTTATGGGCTTGGGAGCAGGTCACACGAAAAAGGTTGCCTGGAACACCCCTATGAAAGCGACTGAGCCGTAAGGCCCAACGAAAGTGGGCGCTACGCTGGCGAGTCACGTTCTCTTCAGTGACTGGCCCTGCACAAATGCAGCTTCCTCCTCAAAGATACATGCTGAGCTCCCTCCATTTCTGCTTCCACGCAGTCCGTAAAAATCCTTATTTCAGACTGCTTTTGATTATGAGAGCTGTTACGTTGCTCTCTGTGGCCATGCTTTTAGATGTAATGCTATGACCGCCCTGAAGTTAAATTATTTTATTGTTCCTCTTGTTTGCTTTTGTGAATTCAGATATGTGTTTTAGTATGATGTACTCTATTTTGCATACCACTTCAAGCAAATATTTGTATTTTGAATGATGGCATAGAAATCTCTTCAGCAAAATAACAAGCAAGCTCTTTCAAACCCTTCCTAAATTGCATTAAATCTTAACAGATACACTAAAACATGATTAAGAGGCTTTACCTTAATCATTCACAAAGAGGAAGACTGGCTTGAGAGTCAGACACATAGTCAGCAGCAACATAAATGCAGAACTAAAGACCAGAACATCAAATATGTTCTACATGCTTGGTGCCTTGATTAAACTGTATCTGAAAGATTACAAAACACAGCAGCAGGATAGAAGGACAGCAACCAGAAATTATTACACTAAACTTATATTAAAAGGTTGGTGAATTAAACAGTATCAGCGACCTCAGTGCCAAAAGAAGCACAAGGTGACTGTGACCTTGCTAATTCTCCTTGAACCTCTTGGAAGTTTTGCCACCAAACCAGCGAGAGCCATGCTAGGCACTGGTGGTGTTCAGGTGGAGTGTACCAGCTTGGGGAAGGCTGACTGCGTTCTGGTAACACCCCTTTTATTTATTTGGTTTATTTTTGTTTGTTTTTGAACCACTGCCGAGTGCTGTAAGAGGGGCGGCCTTTGGAAATGATCCAGAAGCTGCGGCTAGGATAGCCTACAGAAGCTGGTTTACTAACAAGAGCCAGGAAGGATGGAACACGTCTCATCAGTCTTGAAGCACATGAGCTGGCTCTCAGTTTCATTTCCAGGCCCAATCTGAGGTTTTCTCTCTCAAAGCCTTACATGACTTAGGACACGGGCATCTCAAAAAGCATTTCCTTCCAGATGAACCTGCCCACGCACTCGGAGCCTCATCCGGTGCCTCTCCGTAGATCCCTGTGCCATCAGTGATGAGGCACGGCTTTTCCGGGCACTCTTCGGGAGGCTAAGAGTCATGCTGTCCTCCTCCCACGTGGCTTGCACCTCACTGCCACGCTTCTGGGCACCCCAGATGGCCGTGTTCAGCATGTGTTAGTTAAACGTCTGTGGCACAGAAGACTGCACGCCGCACGGTCCCATGACTGCCATACAAGGCTCTGAAGAGGCTTACTTAACCACATTTCTCCTGGCACAGCACACAGCCTGGCCTCCCTCCAAGAAAAAAAATCCTCCCAAGTTTTGTGTCCAAAACATGCAAGTTACACCATTAAAATACATTTTATCACTGCATTCCAGAAGCCCTCTCATCACTGGCAGCCCAGAGCACATTTGCTTTTTGCGCTCGAAGCAGATGCTGCCCATACATTTAAATTTTTCTCTTTGTAATTAGGAATGTTAGAAACCTTGTCTTGAAAAGAGACCATGCTTAGGAAACCACATACTATTCTGGTTAAATGAGCGCATGTCTGGAACACAAACTTCTTTGGCAGCCAGGCTCCCTGCAGAATTAACTTCAGCTGGAGTTCACACCTCCTAGAACATGGCATCATTTGTTCTCCGTGACTGCTCCTGCCTGGAGTATAATGAGGGGATGCCGGTGGCGCAGTGGTTTAAACTGCTGGTTGATCGAAAGGTCGCCGGTTTGAATCTGCACAACGGGGTGAGCTCCCGTACTCTGTCCCAGCTCCTGCCAACCTTGCTCAGTACGCCTTGCGCTAGCCTCCCACACGATTCCTTTCCTCCTTAGCAAGTTGCAATTAACCTGGATCTCCTTTCATTAAGCACAATTTCCTGCTATGCCTATACTAGGATCTTAAACCAAGGTTTGAAACAGGCTAATGATCCTGCCGGTTTTTTATTCTGGCAGCCATGGGTACCATAATAAACACAATGAGAAATGAGGTTCAGTTCAGTTGAAGACTTCTGGATTAATCAGAGTGCACCATGCACAGAAATAGCTTGCCGGCAGCCATTAGATTCCCAGCTTACAAGGAGAAATGTTTCAGCCACTACTGCAAATTCACACAGTCTGTTCTTATAGGTCAGTTATGCCAGCCAGCTGACTGCTCAAATATTGCCAAATATTCTGCAAAAGTAAGATGTAGATAATGTTTGAAGAACGGGCTTGCTGCCCAATGTGGGCATCTGCTTTTAAAAATCTGGCTGGCTTTTTTTTAAATAGATGCCATTAACAAATACTTTTTTACTTTAAAAAGTTAATAATGTAATGTTATACTGATATGTGAAGTGAATTGTATAAAAACCTTACCAAAATGGTATGAGAAATATAACAATCCATTACATTTTAAAAATTAATCTGTTCCATTAAAACAGCTAATTTGTTACTATCAAGTCTACTGAGGATTCAAGGATTGTTATGCTATTGCAATAACATTTTAAATATGTGAGCATTATTTTACAAGATATGATGAATCCACAAAACAAATCAAACAAATTGACTGACCAACTGCCCAGCTCTAGAGCCCTCTCTCTCCTATCTCACTCTGTAACAACGAGAAATGAGAATTACTCGATGAGCTGGTATGTCACCAATGCTAAAAACAACCTCCTTTGACCTGGGTCCCGCTAGACATTTTAGGCTGCAACCCCATCACCCCAACCCTTGCTCACAACGGCTATAGCAGACAGAAGCAGCAACTAGTATATGAAGGAGTCCAGGCTGGGGTTTCAAGTGTGGATGATTAAAGGGTCAATTTAGTGTGCAGAAGCCCCTCATAAAATCCCCAATCAGCTGCAAACATCACTCTATGCCCTTGGGCCCTCTGACTTGCCTGTGGGTGCTGCTGGGAAGATACCCACCTCAGTAACTAGACAGATTTAGGCTGAAGCAGTTTTCAAAAAATCAAGCCAACAAGCTGGGTAGGCCATCTTATGCTGTTTTTAAATGGAACGGTAGTGTTCCCATTCCCTTTCTATTTTTTTAACAGAGCAAAAACTGCCTAGCATACATAATAAAGCCATACAAAGTTCCCATTTGTATGGACATCACAAAATACCATGTGTAAACAGCAGTTAATTAGTGGGAGCAACCCGGTTGACATGAAGCGTTGATGCACATAAAAAATGGGGTGGCTGCAGCTCAGGGTGGTGAATCGCAGGCCTCTGGGTCAAGTCCTGCCCTTCAGGTTCCCCCAGATGACCACAGCAAATCTCCGGGCTGCTTTGGACAACCTGCTGCTTTGCACCTTCCTACACCTCCCCTTGTCCAACACTAAAAAGTTGGAGCTGCTTCCCGAAGCTTAGTAATTAGTAGCAAGAACTTTAAGCTAAATAATGGTGACATCTCCTGAATTTCAAATATTTTAGCTGTACCCTTTTGGACACCCCCCACGGAATGCAGCTCCAAAGCACTACTCCAAATTTGGCCTTCAGGGGTTCAACATACCTGTAGTTGCTAGTTAGGTGACACAGAAATATTTAACACACATGGCCTGAACCATTGTCATGTCTGGAGAGGAATGCCTGTTCTCACCTAGGAGGAACAGCATGGACCTTCATCTCTACAGTGTTACATCACTAGCTGGATCCTTGTTTACCTACAGGTGTCCTAAGGTGCCACTGCAAACCCACAACTATGTTAAGCCAATGAACTCCTTCCAAGGCTCACAAACTTGAAACGTGCCCAACATGTAACATGGCAACTCTTCTTTCAAGCTGATAAATACTGACAGAACTACGTAAGTAAGGAACAAGTTAAGGTTGCTCAACATTAATTATCCCATATTGACTCTATTTATAGGAAAGCTAAATGGAGGGATTGTTTTTAGTTCATGTTTTAATTGTACCCTGCTTCTAAGGTAACAGAAGCAGAATCATGCTTGAAGATGTATACACTATGGGTAAACAAACCCATCAGTGAACACTGCAAGACATTATCCTGTGTCTCATCTGAGCTTTGACATTGTCTGCTTTAAACAGAGAGCATAACAGAGATTCAAGAGGTAGCACACAACAGAAAATAACACTTTAAAGACTCCCAGAGCAAGGAACTGTCAGGGGACAAAAATGCTAAAGTTCTGCATTCAGAAAGGTAAACCAGAATTATGCCCCATCTCAGTCAATATTTTAGTATCTGAGTTAACTGCTTTAAAAAAAGGGAGAAACACCAGTGTGGATTTAACAAAAGTTTACAGCTCTGACAAATCACCTTCGCACATTAATACAAAAACCATACCTTTCTGTAGTTTATGCATCCTGTTACTTTCACAGTTAATGCTCCCTTTGGTAAGAATGGCCTCCCTCTTTCAGGAACAGCCTATGCATAAAACCGCAATCATGCAGCTCTCTTCGCATTTACAAACAAACCACGGCACGTGCATTGCTCAACCTACCCCTTTCTCAAACTTCAAGGACTCCCTGCAAAGATCCATGGGCCACCCCGCTGGCCCCACAGCCTTGCCCGCCGAGCCGCCCACCCACCGACCGACCGACCGGGCCGTTTCTGATGCAGCGGCAGCTGAACAGCAGCATCCCCGCCGCGGCCTCCCACACGCGCCTGTCATGTCCTGCCCTCCCCCCTCCCTCCCCGGGCCGGCCCAACGCGGCCCCCGGCCCCCCCCCCGCCCCCGGCGACGTCCCCCCCCCGGCACCCGCCGCAGGCGCCCCTCTCGCCACGCAGCCCCCCGCGCAGGCACCCACGACAAAGGGCAGCCCCGCGCCCGCCCCCCCGCGGCGCTGCCCAGACCCCAGACCCCGGCCCCGCGGCCAGGGAGCGGCTGCGCGCGGCCGTCCTCCCGCCGCCCTTCCCGGAGCGCAGCCCCGCGCGGCAGCCCGCCGGGAGAAGCCCCTCCGCGCGGGCCCCTTTGTCCTGCAGCCCCCCGAGCGGGGCGGACGGCGGCGCGCCCGAGGGCCTCACCGGCCTGCGTGGTGTCGCTGAGGTCGTAGGCGGCGGCGGCGGCGCCGGGGGCGGCCGCGGGGAACTCGCGCAGCTTCCTGCCGCTGAGGCAGAGGATGCCGGAGCCGGCGGCCTCCTCCAGCGTCTTCTCCAGGCTGCGCGCCGAGGGCGGCGACGACGAGGCGGCGGCGGAGCAGGCGGCGGCGGGGGCGGGCGGGCCGGCGCCCGGGTAGGCG